GCCCTGCCGTTCCGCCCCCGGAATGAAACGGCCGGAGACGCACACTGAAAATGAACTTTTATTTCGATAAATTAAAAGTCGCGTTACATGATAAAAAGCGTGGAGTGCCGTAGCTCAAACCTAGCGGAGCAGAGAAGCACGATGCACGCCCAGCACGGTGAGGCTTCGCTCCCTGTAAAGGTCAGTAACTGAAAGATACACAGTGGTCCCTACACAGAAGTCACCCAAAAAACCACAAATACAGCCTGAAAACGAAGCCAAGGATCACAGGATAACAGCAAGTCTCAGCAGCGCATCGCTCCCTTCCCACTACAGCCCAGACTCGTCACTCTCAACATTTAAGTTCTTTTGATTTCAGACATCACTTTTTTCTCTAGGACTCGCCACCCAAAGAAGCACGCAGCCTCCTCAGGCTGGCTTTCAACCGCCCCTCTGCAAACCCACGGTCTGTAGGCAGGAGCTGCAGCAGACAGCACATCCAGACAAGTGTATTTATGACACTCGTGGCTTTTATGCCCTCTACCACCTGCAGCGTGATTAAAACACAGGGGAGGAAGCCTGCCAACACCCAGCATCAGGGCTTTGGAAAGCATGCAGGATGGAGATCAGCCGCATAGCAGAAAACTTGCGGGGATCGGAGCAGTTGGCTGGGGACCAGTGCTCCCAGCCTGCAGCACACCGCTACTGGCTACCCTAGGCCAAACAAAACCAACCATGGTACTCAGGCATGATCAGATTTTGTTAAATTGATAGCACAAGTCCATCCTACAACAGCAGTGACTACAGCAATTAGCGATCGACTATGGTCCTGACATGCAAATTAAGCAGCACCGCTGGACAGCTGTGCCCCAGTGCCAAGTACTGACAGCTCAGCTCCTTGGCCACAGGCAGAGGACGCGGGCAGCTGGAGCAGCACATGCTGTCTCTAGCTGACAGTTTCACTACCGCTGTTGAAGAGCCTTCTGAAAGTAAAGCAGACTGCAACAAAACAAAACACTAACGGATTGACATGGCAGTACAATAATCCCTTAAATTTTAAGGTAAGTTAAATTCCATACAAATCAAACTTCCAAAAATATTTTGCAAACTCTGGCATATGGCTATGATACAGTATGTACAAATAAAATACCAGAATGGTTACATTTTATTGCTAGGTTTTTTTTTTTTTTTATTTGGTTAAGGAATTACACAGTAGTGTATAAAAGGGTGTGGGAAACAGCAAGAAGCAAGCATTAGCTTCTTGTCCTCTCAAAAGCCAAGGTTGGTTGGTTTTGTTTTGTTTTTAAATACTGTGTTTTCCAACATCACATCAAAAGCATTTCCGTATTGGGTCATGTCTGCATTACCCAAACAGGATAGAAGAGCAACAGTGAAAGAAGCCTAGGCAATGAGTAACAGGGTTCCATGTTGTACATTCCTTCACCGATTCATACTTCCAGAATACAATTATTCTTAAAACATCCAGTTGAAAGTTATATAAAAGTCAACAATTATGAACTGACTTCCACATAAACTGATGTTTCAGCGAGGTGGGCAACTTCAAGTCGCTAATCATGCAAAAAACTTCTAATAAGATCAGTGATATTTGTGAGCAAAATCATCTGACTTGACCATGATCTAGCCTGTAAGAGAATCCCTTCTGCAAAAGTAATTTTCTATGTTCCAGAAGGTTATAAACACACTCTGTGTTTAGATCCACTAGTATAAACAAACCCTTAAGTTCCTCTATAGTAAGGAAACCCCACTTACAAAGCATGTGTCAGTAGAGAATGCTGATGCAACTGCACACTCCTATCCTGCTTTTTACATCCTTCTGCTGGCGAGAACACAAGGGGTAAGGGTATCAAGAAGGAATCACGTTCACATTAGTCAGGAAACAGCCCACAAATCTACTCTGGGCCTTCCCACCCACTCCTAGTGACCAGGAGCTTTACTCAAGATGCTTCAGAGTGACCCAAACAACAGTGGATGGAAGAAACCGGCAGCATCAGCCACCCTGCTCAAAAGATCTCCAGTGACCAGTCAGTGAGACCATCAGCACACTGCTGATTGTACCCAAGGCAGGTTCTGCTCAGCAGGCTGCGTTGTAGACTTTTACTTCTTAAGCATCTGTTGAAGTTATTCAATACTTACCTTTTTTTTTTTTTTAAAATAAAAAACCCAGATAGGTTCATCTCACATACTGTTATCCGGACGAAATACAGCAAAGCTAAAAGAATGACAAAGTGAAAACCCAAGCACTTGGTAGGCAATTGCTTCTGTAGGCTCATCATATAAGAACACTTTTAACTCTTCCCTCTAAAAATAAATCCTGCTATAGATGGGCATGATTTACCACTCTTGCTCTCCTCTAACTGAGTCCAAACTCATTCATAGATATACTTAGTTAAAATTACAGATTTAGCTGAAGCTCTTAACCACCCCTTTTAGGCTCAGTCTCTCATTATAAACAGCTTACTACCAACACAGCCCCTGACACAAACTTCTCCTTAAATATGCATAATTTACTCTATCTCAAATATTTACAAGCAGAAGAAGCCCATCTTTACAAGATGGATTTCCTTCTGCTCTACATAAAGTGCAGCTCTCTAATTTAAGGCAAATTTCAGTGAAATACAAAACCATAGTTTTATTTTTAGTATGTACACATTTTAAATTAAAAACAAGAATTCCCTTGAAAAGGAAAGAATGAGAGGAAAACGTTTCCAAGTTTGGGAATTTTCTGCATTTTAACACAGTCCCAATATTATATCCTATCAACATATAAATTTGAAAATTTCTTTTCAATAAACGCAAACAAAAAAGGGGTGGCAAGGTGTACAGTAATTTAGCTCCAAAGATCAGTAAAATACTGGGAAAGTGCAGACATAGCTTTTCATGTCCTATAGTTTTCTTTAGCTACAGTAGCATCCATCAGTATCACATTTCTAAATGTATATCCTATACACCTAATGCTAATCTCAGTTCTTGCAATGAGTATTTCTCATCTCCATCTGTGTCAAATTTCTTAAAGCTCTGTGACTCTTGGGCTGTAGAGCCAAGCAGCTTTTGAAGATCTTCATACGATAGTTTTCCATCAGCATCCTCAGTTGCTTTTTCAAACAAATTCTGAAGATCTGCAAAGAGAACAAGGACTGAAAAGTAGCTCCTTTAAGTACACAGGAATATCCTACAAGCTGCTGTTCCAGTTTTACTGCACCATGTCTTACTACCTAGTCATTAAATAAAGCATCCCCAAGTACATAGTTTGCCTTCTACGTTGTCGCAAGCTGTCCGTAACAGTTTAGGAGAAAAAAAAACAAACCCAAACATTTCTGGATTAAATTACGTTAAATCTGAAAAAAGTAATCCCTATTTCTGGCCATGACTAACAGCTCATTCTACAACCACTAACTGCGTACAGATGCAGTTATCCTCCACAAAAGCAAGCTCTGAATGACTGTTGCTATACCAACAGCCCAGATGATATAAAGGGAAAAGTGTCTATTCATTTCCTGATGCAAAGCACAGCCCTTTCAGTAGCTGAAGAGACTGAACAGCAAGATCCAGAAACCATTCATCTGAACAGGCAGTGTTCTCTTAAAAGAAAAAAAAAAAAAGAAAAACAAAACCCTCAAAACATACACACTCACACCTACTTCATTTTCCTTCAGCACCCTAATTCTGCCCTTTACTTCTCTCCCCATCTCTGGGGCACTTGGTATAATACTTTGGCACTCAAAACAATTATAACTCGCTTATAATGCACACTCCTGTTTAAATCCACGTTTCTTTTATTTTACCTGCTATTCTTTCCTTTTAGGTTTAAAAAATAAAAATTAAGAAGTCCATAGTTCTCAAGTTTTAAAATTGACCTTACTTCTCCCAGAATGCCCAGACACACTACCATAACTCCAGTAATAGTTATCATCTCCTAAATATTTACATTAAATATTCAGAAAAAGAAAAGGTCAGCCTAGAAAGGACATACCTTCCATGCTGGAAATTCCGGGTAAGGACAGATGTCTCAGCTGTCCGTTACTCTCTGTGTTGTCATCAGCTGACCTTGAAGCCAGCCGTGAAAGGTCTGTGGGCTTTGCTGTAGCACTCAGACTACTTTCAACTGTTACAAAACAATTTCTATTAGTCCTACTAATTCTACAGATTTACAGTTAGTAGAAACAAACAAAAAAATCCAATAAAACTAATTAAATTTTTTTTCTCATCACAGATGCTCTATGGGGTAAGAATGATGCAAAATCCTTTCAGAATACAGCAGCATTGTCCCCTTTTACCAATAACTGGAAGAACAGAAGGAAGGAAACTTTTTTTTGGACAGTTATACAGCTTGCTTTCTTGCTGTACTAGGAGATGTGTGTTTGTAAACCCCATACAGAATGACTTGGAAGTGCTTTCTATTTCCCAGTCTGAAAGTCCTGAACAAGCTTTATTAAGCAAATTACACCTGCCCACCTGGGTTGTCTTCACCATGTCACTGCAGGTATCTATCTTCCCCAACAGCAAGGTCTAAACTTCCAAGTTGCTGCTTAACAAATTAACAACAAGCACAGTTCTAGTATAATGAAGTATTGCAAATCTTATCTTCAGCACTATCTGAATATATACAGCAGAAGTGCAGAACTAAGCTAAGTCAGCAGAGACGCAGATCCTTCCTCTGTGTTACCCTTAAACTTTAAAAAAACCAAAAATAGATGTTACCGGGTATACATTTCTACAGGTTAATCACCGTATGCCTTCAAATACAAGCTACTGACACATGCGAATCCTGCTATACACAAGGAAAGTCACCTTCAAACTTTTGTAGTCATATATAGCTTTCTAGGTTAAGGCCATCGGTTTCCTACTGCTTTAACTGAAATAATCTTCACCAAAATCTTAAGGAACACTCCAAATTATCCACCTTCACAAGTTATTCTTTGAATTACACAGGGAACCTTCAGGTTTATGGATTACTGTGATACAACATTCTTACCATTCTTTGATGTCTCCATGGGTCTGTCATTTTCTGGCTTGCCTGTGAGAGCACTGATCAGCTGAAGCTTCTCTTTTAGTTTTGATACCTGAGAATCTCTAGTTCCTGTTTCCTGCATATGTAGAAAAAATATTTCTTAAGAAGCACCTCTTCAGTAGATAGAGAAAAATCAGGAAAAGAAGTAATTTAAAATATGTCGGTACTTTTGAGTGACTTCGAGGCCTCCAGACTGATCAAGTTTAAAGTAAAAAAAAGATTTAAAAACAAAAAACAAAAACCAAAAAATCTATGGAAATATGTAAGTAATAAATTCACATAGTCTGTAAGAAAACAACAGAATCAGGACCTCAACCTGAAAAGTAGGCAGCTATTTCGCAGACACCAATTTCAAAAGAATCTGACATTTAATCTCCATATTTCTTATATAAATGAGCAAGACTCTGAAAAAGTGTTATATAAAACAGTCAAACATACTTGGAGTAAACATTTATACATTAATTGAATTCTATAATTGTTTCAAATGTTTGCCTCCTTAGGGCAGGAGTCACTATATCTCTGTCGAAGTAAAACCATCACATTTTTTAATCTGGAGCACCTTTGCTCTTTACATGAGTAGGTTCCAGATGACAGGTTGAGTTCACATCAATCCAAGCCTAGAACTGACAGCATAGCCAGTTCACTCACCTGCCTTCTTTCCAGAAGACAGAAACTAACCTTAGCAGCACCACCTCTTAGCTCCAGCCCACAGTCTGGCACTCAGTCTGTTAAACTTGCTCACAGGAAGTCATCAGATCACTACTGAGAGGTGGCTTTCATCAATTCCCAGACTCCACTAGTGCAAAGTCTCTCTAAGTCAACCCAAGAAAGTTTTTAAACCTGGATAAATGCCGTAACCCCATTTACAGCATGAACCCACAATAGTTGGGCTAGCTTTGCCGAGAGCATGGCAATGGGTACTCAAATGAGCTGGCTGCCGGAGTCCCCTGTTCCACTGGACCATGGTCTGAACCTCTCAAGATTCCTTCAGCTGCACAGAAGGACATTACAGCAGCTCTACTATGTTATCCCATATGTAGTCAGAATGGCAAAGCTTTACACTATTATAACTTTTCTTCCATCCTAATCGACTTCCTCTCCCCAAAATGGGGTGGATAAAAGAAGTCCAGAGTAGGACAGCTTAAGAGAAACTTGATCAGATTAGCCTGCTGGCAGATCTTTTCTCAATTAAGTCTCATTTAAAACATGATTATAGAGACAATGACATGCTCTACTAATCCAGTGCAATTTGTCTTTCCTTACTTTACCTTCAGTTCTTTATTTGAATGAGTTTCATTATCTAGTTGATCATTTTCCACTTTTAGAGAGGTAGTTGCATCATTCACCTACAGGAAAAATGGAGGAGAGCAGAGTTTATTCATGTGCTTTTTATCTTCTACAATAGTTTCTTTCCTTCAAATTTGGCAGGCATGAAGCAGGAATTAAAAACAGGACAAATAATGCTAGAATAAACACAAAGACAGTGGATTATGTAATTTACTACAGTAACGTCAACATGCTCCTTATTGCTAAACATACAGAACACGTTCTCACAGACTGGCCCCACTATGGCATATACAAAGCTCTGGAAAGATTTATGAACATATTTAGTATTAATTTTTTTAATTTTATTTTTTGGGGCATTTAAGCACCACTGAACAATCCAGAGGCCCACCATGCTCCTCAACGGTTTTAACAGACCCATCCCAGAGTGTCTTCCTAAAACATAGCTAAAGAGGTTTGTGAATCACATCCTATTAAGCAGTTACCCAAGTCTTAAATGTCACAGTGTTTTGAACATTTTTTTTTGTAGATTCTGCAGGGAAGAAATGACTGTTTCAGAGATACTCTTAGTGTTGGTTATCTGTTCAGAAATATGGAACAAATTCCAGCCTTCTAAAATGAAATCCTAAGTGTCTCAACTTTCATTCTGACGTCTTCTTTAGTTAGGTTTGAAAACCTGTATCTGTAGTGTACAGAAAGTATTAAAACTACCAGCCTGAGTAGACACCCTCAGTCATCAAATACTTACCACACTGGTAGACAAGTTCTCTCTTTTGTCCAGATTATTCACAGCAAGGGGAGAGTTTTCTAAAAACATAACCCTCTGGCTAAGGTTACCAATGGCTGAATCCACATTTAGAAGCTTGATGTCATTCAACTTTTGGTATGCCACTACAGTATTATTTAGCTCTTCCAAAGCTGCATGCAGTGACTGGCTTTCCTGAAATATAAAACCAGCACATGTCAGTTTACTGAATCTCTGCAGCACTACTGCTATTAACAAGATGGTGACTGACCCAATTTTACCAGGCAGACTTCAGACTGGCTCTCTACCGACACCACTGAAAACATCCAACTGGAAGCTTCCAGAAAGTTATTCCAGCTTTCAAAGTTTGAATCTGCGATTCTTCCTCAGGGCTAACCTCTTTGCTAATGTCATTACTTCAGCCAGCAAACACAGAAAGTCTATTCATCCAATTTTCCAGGGCAAGCTTAGTAACCACACCAACTATTTTTCTCAAGAAAGCATGTACTATGCATATTTAGACACAAGACTCATTTTTGAGGAAGATAGACTGTATTAAATGTAAATAAATGCAGTCATTCCATTCCAACCCATTCAGCGAAACACCCACACATTATCCCTTTTTTTTTTTTTTGGTTGCTGAATCTCTGCTTTCCACACCTCTTTACAGTCAGGGTGACTCAATACATGCCACTCCCAAATTTGATCAGATTGGCAACTACCTGCCATAAAATCCACTCCATAAAAAGGTTTTAACTCCTTTCCATTTACATGAGTAAAGCACACCTATAACTTGCTGGATATTAGTTTCGCTCTTTTTACTCCTGACTCAGATAGAACACAAAAAAATACTCTCAGACTAGAGTACTTTCCTGTTTGCACATACACAGGAACGAACTACAGCAAAACACTAGAGCAAAATTATCTTATATTTTGTTTTGAAGGATGCTATCTGTATTGTCTTGATAAAAATGTATTTTTGTACATTACAGTACAGCAAAACACAAAAAAGTTACATATGGGTGACACTTGTACCAATATTCCTTATGCAAGGGAGAAAAATACCTTTTTGCAATTTTCTGTCTGATTTCTCTCAGTCCTTGGCACAACAGTGGAGGGAAGTAAAGGTATCTGTTTTAATTCCTTCTAAAGAAAGCAGAAAATTATGTTACCAAATGCCTGTAAAAAAAATACTAAACTTCAATAACTGGCAGATTGTAGCTAAGAATGTTTTGCTACAATTATAGTCATTCATTTCTGTTCTGCATGCAGTATTTTAACTAAGCTAATACAGAGTTTTCTCTTCCAAACACAGAAGGTCCAAATTTATTTTAATTAAACCCTCCTAATTAGCTCTCCTCCCTTTAAGGAAGTATTACAATACACATTTCACTGCTACCAAACACATTACCACATCTGCAATGCTTTCGTAGCACCCACTGACTAAATCAAGTTTTATAATGTGTCTAATTTAGATTTTATCTGCAAGTATTCTTATTAAAGTAATGCTGTATTGCAGTTTAGCTGAAAAACTTTGGCTCAATTTGGCCACAGAGAAATACGTACTTGATACTATATAGAAGATACCATACAGGAATTAGAAGATTAGTTTATTAATGTACCAACCAGCATCTACCAAAACTTCAAAGGTATTTCAAAGGCATAAGGCAGAACTCCACACAGTTCTTAAACTTGCTTCATATTAGGCAGGTAATAAATAAATAAAGTGCAGTGTTAAATCAGAACATTTTCTTACCACATCATTCTGGAGTATTTCTATGGATTTCCTGTATTCTTCAATAGCTGTCTGTATATTTTCAACATCATGAGAAACACTGGTAAGCGTGCTACCTATGTTAGCTACAGTCTGGAATAAAGAAGATGACAAAAATCTCAGCCTTCCTCAAACTGCACTCTCCCAAAGATTCAATTTGCTAAACACAATGTTTTGTTAGTGAAACTGCAGGCAGACTGCCACAAAAATACGCACGTAAATTTGAAGCATTCAGAACTTTCTTTGCAGACAAAACTGCAAATTATACCCATTGCATTTCCAGGCCAATAAACAAAGACACACTCTACACCATGAGCTTAAGCTAGATAACCAAAGTTACAGGTTTGCTACTCCCACTCCCAGAACAATACAAACGTTCTGGCATAAAATTCTGATATGAAGACATCTTACCTCCTCTCTGCATGGAGTATTTGTATTGAGTACAAGAATGCTGACATCACCGATTTATCCTGCCTTAATTGTTCTTCAGGTCTACCCATCAGAAACATCATACGCTGCAAAACTAGTCTGCCAAAGGTTGCAGATTCAATTTTCAAGCAATTATTGTCTTTTTTAAAACAAAAGAATAGTGTGAAGCATCAGGAAAGCCCCCATGAATTCTGCAGGTACAGTCAGTGTGCTCTGACAGCTACCTTTGCTTCCAACTACTCCCGTCTCATCCTTTCCTTGCCTTCACCTACGTGAACTCCCCCTATCTCCAGCTCTAACTTTAGAAAGTAACTGTCCAGTAAAGCCGCACCAGTGTTTTAGCAGCTGACAGCATAGCACCTATCAGAGTCAGATCATCAGCTAGGACAGCCACAAACACTAGTGGAAGTTACAATAACAGGACAGAGCATGCCCCTATGCTTCTCATTCAGTTTTTAGTAACTTTCTTCATTCATTAAAACAAACAGAATCCATCTAAAAATCCCTTTTTCCTATGACCCTGTTATCCTCACAAGCTCTTAAGGCATGGAAGTGACCCTCTAGGTACCCAGATTACACTCAAGTGACATCCATACAAACTTTCCTCCAGCTCTTCATTTTGCAAGTCTGAACACAGGTTCAGTAAGCAACCGCTGCCCTGAAGGACCTCAGGCCACCTTTAGCACCTTTCATCAGTCTGAACAAAAGCCACTGCCCAAGAGGAACTCCCTCAGTAATCCTTCAGGACTCCTAACACCAGCAGGCAGCTCCTCATTTTCAGGAACAGTACCTACATGGAAAAAGGCTTAAGAAAACCAAAATCCTATTCTAAGAATAGCAGCCTCTTCGTAGAATCACTTAGGTTGGAAAGGATCTTTAAGACCATCGAATCCAACTGTTAACCTAACACTGCCAAGTCCACCACTAAGCCATGTCACTAAGCACCACAGCTACACGTCTTCTAAATACCTTCAGGGATGGCGACTGAACCATTTCCCTGGGCAGCCTGTTCCAGTGTTTGACAATCCTTTTCGTCAAGAATTTTTTGCTAGTATCTAATCTAAACCTCCCCTGGTGCAACTTGAGGTGATTTCATCTTGTCCTATCGCTCATTACTTGGGAGAAGAGACCAACCCTCACCTTGCTACAACCTCCTTTCAGGCAGCTGCAGAGAGCAATAAAGTCTCCCCTCAGCCTCCTTTTCTCCAAGCTAAACAACCCCAGATCTCTCAGCCGCTCCCCATCACACTTACCCTCCAGACCCTTCACCAGCTTTGTTGCCCTTCTCTGGACATGCTCCAGCACCTCAAGGTCTTTCTTGTAGTGAGGGGCCCAAAACAACACAGCACTCGAGGTGCGGCCTCACCAGTGCCGAGTACAGGGGGATGATCACTGCCCTGGTCCTGCTGGCCACACTATTCCTGATACAGGCCAGGATGCCGTTGGCCTTCTTGGTCACCTGGGCACACTGCTGGCTCATGTTCAGCTGGCTTTTAACCAGCACCCCCAGGTCCTTTTCCACCGGGCAGCTTTCCAGCCACTCTTCCCCAAGCCTGTAGCGTTGCATGGGGTTGCTGTGACCCAAGTGCAGGACCCAGCACTAAGCCTTGTTGAATCTCATACAATTGGCCTCAGCACATCGACCCAGCTTGTCCAGATCTCTCTGTAGAGCCTTCCTACCCTCAAGCAGATCAACACTCCCACCCAACTTGGTGTCACCTGCGAACTTACTGAGGGTGCACTTGATCCCCTTGTCCAGATCATTGACAAAGATGTTAAACAGTACTGGCCCCAAAAGTGAGCCCTGGGGAACACCACTGGTGACCGGCTGCCAACTGGATTTAACTCCATTCACCATCATTCTTTGGGCCCAGCCATTCAGCTAGTTTTTTTACCCAGCAAAGCATACACCAGTCCAAGTCATGAGCAGCCAGTTTCTCCAGGAGAATGCTGTGGGAAATGGTGTCAAAGGCTTTACTAAAGTCTAGGCAGATGACATCCGCAGCCTTTCCCTCATCCACTAAGTGGGTTACCTTGTCATAGAAGGAGATCAGGTCAGTCAAGCAGGACCTGCCTTTCACAAATCCATGCTGACTGGGCCTGATGACCTGGTTGTCCTGTACATGCCATGCGATGGCACTCAAGATGATCTGCTCCATGACCTTCCCCGGCACGGAGGTCAGGCTGACAGGCCTGTAGTTCCTCTTCCAGCCCTTCTTGTAGGTGGGCATCACATTTGCTAACCTCCAGTCAACTGAGACCTCCTCGGTTAGCCAGGAGTGCTGATAGATGATTTCTTCCAAGAAAGGCAGGTAATTCCAAAGACAGCTGGATGCAATGGACAAGTTGTGCAAGAGATTTTTCACCAGAGTTATCAAAAGCCAGGCTACCCACCTACACACAATCAAGTTCTCCTGCGTGACGGGACACAGTGCAGCATGCACACAGAAGTCAGAAAGAAGTCCAAGTCTTGAAACCTATCATTTTTCATTAACGTGACACCTACAAACCATTACAACTATTGTATTTAAACCTCCAAATCATTCTTCTACACTCAATACCTCGCAATATACCTCCTAGAAGGATTCTAGCTCTGTTTTTACTATATTAACCTTCCAAAACATAAATGCAAGCAAGATGGCATCAAGAGAGCAGTGGAAACAGATGCCACATCCAACACCTTACTTAGACTAAACAGCAGAGACCGGAAAGAACTCAAAATTTCCCAAGATCTTTGATTTTCTTGAAGTGTGACCAAGGACAGACTTATTTCAATGTGAAAAAGCCTTGCTGTTCAGCAGATCACTGCAAGCTGAAACCTGTTGGCCCTAACACTTTGTCCTGACGGTACCGAAGGCAGCAAGATGACAAAAAGGTTATTCTGTATTTTATACATGTATATAAAAATAAATAAAGTAGGTATTGCCTTAAGACTTACTTCTGATATAACACCATAAAAATCCATCATGCTTATAAGAGCAAATTAGAAGCTTAGGAAATAGATTTGTACTCCTCCCAGAAAAAGAAATCCTAGCAGCCTGATCAGTCAAACCACACTAATTGATTTGCATATGACTAGCTTGTTGATTATACATTAACTTTGTAGGGATATGAAATGAGAAATGGAAACCTATAAAAGCCACAAAGACTGGACTGACATTAGGTGTTAGCCCAATATAAATGCTTATTGCTAAATAAACACAACTGCCATGGAAGAGCCAGGGAAGTTTCAACAAGCCATTCTTTTTAGCAAAATAAACAGGACAGCTTTTTGGTAAACAACACTCAGGTAGGGCACATGGTAAGACTCTGATTAACAGAAGCAAGCTTGTGTCACCCAGTACGGCCCATCTTTCAAGGGATTGTCAGAAAACCATCCCAGTACAATTCCTGGTTTGTTGTGCCTGTACTGAACACCAAGAAAGCTCCCATGCTAATGTTCCCAGCCCACTGCTCCCAAGTGAGACCCCTACCCACCTCAAAACTGTAAATGCAGAGCCAGATGTAGAACTATATACTGCTGAAGATGAGGAAGTTTTCCAGAAAGCAAACAATTTTCTTTTCCAATTAAAAAACCTAAACAAACAACCTATTTGCAAGCAGAGTTGTAAAGCTTCAGGCAGACTTTTTCCAAGTGTCCTAAGTGATATTAAGATTAGCAGCCTGAAGGAAAGTAACCAGAAGAATCAGCTCCAAGGTAAAGAGGGACAACAAACAAATGCATCTCCAGAAAGGGACAAACAAGGCCATCACATTTTTTACCTACCATATGTTATCACAGGACCATACAATACCAAATACATGAAGTCCAATTTAAAAACAAGAGAAGCAAATATTCCTCACATACAATTCAGGTAACTCCTGTTGTCACTGCTGTCCCCAAGAGTCCAGCTGCAGCTTAGCAGCACAGAAGGCATTTAGCAATAGCCAAATTTACAGTACTTGCCTTCTGAAGTTTCTCTACTGTGAGAGGAAGAGAAATCAGATCGGATGCAGATTTTATGTTGTTTTTGAGATGATTTACTGTTGAAGTCAATAGTGATATCTAAAAACCAAAGAAGAATACTTAGAATTAGTCAACATAATCCTGATTCTGACCTTCCCCAATATTAATGACTTAATTTGTAACATTAAAACATAAGGCAAGACAAAATTATATATGTACACACACACAAGACAGCCCTCTGTCTAGATTAGAAGTCCTGCCTAGGCTACGTTAAAAATATTCTGCTTCTTGCAACAGAAGCAAGATTTATTTTTTTTTAAAAACTGAATGAAAGCCACAGAAGCCTCTTCTTTTCAATAAGGTATCCTCTGCCCATTTTACTTTCATCCTCTTAGAGAGAGACTGTTGCCCAAGATAGATTTTTAAAATTGCGCAAGAAGCCCTTATGTGGATGAAACAGTCATCCACTTATGTATTTAGCAATCAAACCTGCCTGGAAAAACCCAGCAAAGCCAGGCAACTCCTCTAGCTGAGTGACAAGTAAAGTTGCACGTATCACCCAAACCTTCTGCTACAGAAGTAGAACAGTGACAATCTAGATACAGCGGGCTAGCTCAATTTCTGTCAACTGTTTGACCCAGACAGCAAGTTATTCAACAGGTCTTCAAGATTACTTATTCCAATTGAGACGTGGTCAAATAAATTAAAAACCACTACATGCTAGTCATTAATTCCTAATACTATCACTTTAAGATCAATTTGCAGCCATCAGTAGTCAAAACAAAGAAAAATAATTTCTTCTCACATTTGACAACACGAAAGTGGGTTTTATCCACTCCACTTTTTTCTGGTTAAAAAAAAAAAAGTTGTTTCACATGCTGAGGAAATGGGCAAGATCCTAATTTTACGTTAGGCCAATGATGATCAGCTGGCGTACAAAGTCTCTCATTCCACAGCTGTGAATATTGGCTAAAATAATTCCCAGCAGCACATCCCAACAATTCATGGGAAAAACAAACAAACACAAATTTTGATCCCCAGAAAAGTTGGCTCAGACTGTAACCAGACCCTGAAGTAACTTGAGGGCCTGCAAGAACCATGTGCAAGTATCTTTAATGTCCAGGTGCAAAAGATCGCGTTTTAGAAGTCCAATGAAGCACCTAAATATCTGCAGATAATGCATACTGTCAGATGCCAAAGAAAGCAAGTCAATTTTTCAAATACATTTATGTGTCCATTAAGCACTTAACCACTGCATGCAACTGGAAAAAAAAAAAAAAAAAAAAAAACACACACCAAAAAAACCCATACAAACCCAAAACCACCCAATCTGAGCAGGCACCTCAGTACTCTTAAAAATTAAACCCAAAGCACTAGTGTCAGGGAGGGTTACCCACACACACCTCTTGATACCTCTAACTGTGAGACCACTAACTGTGAGCAACTGATCTTTTACCCTCTGAGGCAAGAATTTCACTAAGAGCCTTGCTGGATGCTTTGTTTGAAGCATGAGTTAATACGGCAGCTGAGGAAACAGCTTTCTGATAAGTCGCTTAGGTCTAGCCACGTAAACAGAGCTAAGATTTACACCAGCTCAGATTCCGAGTGTGTATTACCAGATTTTATATTGACAAGATGACAGCACTTCAATTGTAGCAACACGAACTTGCACTGATTCAAGGTAACTTTCTTCCACATTAATGAAACATTTGCAGACATTCTCAGAAATCTGAAGTGTCAAATCTCTCATCATAAACATCACAATTATTTGGCAGGAAAATTAAGAACTACGCAGTTCTCTGGTTCTTTTAAGTTCTTCCTGAAGACTTTCCACCAGTTGCATAACTTCTCTTTGTGATCAGTCTCCAGTCCAACTGGATGGTCAAGCTTTTTTTGCTTAAGTGAGGCTTATACTCCATTTTAACTTTAAAAATAAAAGTTTAGCTTATGGTCACAGAAGTCCTTAGATAAAAGATCAGCACTGCACTTGAAATTAACTTCTTTAAAAATAAATTTGAATGTAATATTTTATTATTTTTCAAAACCAAGCACTGATCCCTCTCACCTGTTTATTGATCTCTGTGATATTTATCCAAATTTTATTTAGCCCCAGTTCTCCAGTCTCAATTTGTTCTAGTTGCTTTTGCTTCTGCACCAAATCTTCATTCAGTTTAGGAATTTCTTGGAATGATGTTTTTTGATTAGATTCCACTAAAAAGAAAGAAAAAAAAAGAAAAAATAACTAAATTTGTTTTAAAAAAACAAAAGTCCAGTTAAACAGCATTGAAAGGCAGAAAACAAATTACAAGCAGCAACATCTACAGCAGTGAAAGAAGGCATTAACAGTTTCTACATATGGGTTTATTGCCAATTCAGAATGAAGCATTTGTTCAGAACGACAGCTCTTTTTTTAAGAGCACTAATGTCTGCAGAGAGAAGCCAGAGAGACCATACTAAATTTAACACTTTGCAACAGTACTGTCATTCTGGCAAGCCTCAGCAGGTCATTACTTAGTGCAGGTATTTTGCATTACTTTCACAGAGGAACACAAAATAGTAATAACACGAAATAGGGACTGTGAATAAGAACTGCTAACAGGACCAGGGCAAAGGAGGCACATGAAATGAACCTCAGTGCCCTTTTCAAGCCTGCAAAGGGGCTGATGATGAAGAAGTGAATTCCAAAGAGATTATCATGATTACAGTTGTTCTGTGTGACAGAAAGACAACTGAAAAAAAAATGTGTACGTTTACACATGAACATCTGTTGGTAAACAAACCGGTAAACAAGATCCTTGGAAATAAAGGCAGTTATTAGTGCAATTAATAGTACAGGAAGGGGGAAACGTGCAGCTCAAACGAATTCAAGTGAGCCTCAGAAATGCAGCTCTTCCAGGTCTGCAGTGACTAAGCTGTTTAGCTGCAAGCGCTATTAGGCAATCCTAAATCCCTAGGCCTGAGAAATAAATAAGCAAAGGTTTTGAGATGGAGATGACCGAGGTCTCCAAAATCTGCACCTCCACCCTGTAACGCAGCACTGGAATGCACCACAACAAACTGCCATCATTCAGATCAGACTGCCAAGAGCAGTGGGACCTACATGGTACATAGCTGGCAGCTCCCAGAACAAGCTTCCATGGGTGACCCATCCGGTCAAAAGGGGAAGCCTTCAGGAGTGCTTCATGCCCATGGAGCGAATGCCCAAATACACACAACTGGAAAGCTGTGCAACTTTAAAAACCCACTTCACTTTTCTTGAAGCAAGTCCTAAAAGCCACTTCTAGGTACAGAGTAATCTGCATTGATCACCCAAGATCCGAATAACACTTTTGATTAAGAAAGACTTTGAAAGGTATATTTTAGCCAAAACAGACTGAGAGCTAATTGTGTGTTTGACACAAGCAGTTCACATCAAATCTGACGCTTCAGAGGCTCTTGTAGACAAATTATTTCCTGTTCTGCCATTCTCACTGTGTACAGTGAGATTCCACTTAAGAGTTTTTTGCAGTGCTAGGAAGGTTAAGTACTACATGCATTCTTAGCATCATTACTAACAACTGAAGGGGAGCATCACAATGACTTCCTCCTATCCTAAACATACAAAGACACCTTATTTTAAAAAGCACTCATACCATACTGGGTTTGTTCAAAGCATGGCAGAACAGTTACAAATACCACCACAGGAATCCGCTCTTATGGGGAAAAAAATCTGGATGAAGATTCAGAGCAGGAAGGTTCTTCTTCCAAACTTGCTGTAGGATAGACAGATCCTGTGCCTTTGTTTCTCCATCAACCCACATACCCCACCAAAGCACAATGTTACCTTTTGGAACCAGGTTATTCTTGCTGTCTGCTTTTTTATTGTTGTTTTTAATGCTGTGCCTCATTATGAGGCTCCTATTCAGCTTCTAGGCATGCTATTACAGGGGCAAGGAAATCTGAGATTATTTTACCACTAGACGAAGTATTAAATGGACAGCTTTTCTATCATAGCTATTAAGGACAAAACAAGCACATCCGTAACTGCCAGACACTAAGCTCAGAGAGAACAACTGCTTTAACAAAGAGGTCTACATAGAACAGGAATGATGAAACTTAACTACACTGAAGCCAACAAGTGTTGTGATTGTGCAAAACTTTTACAGCCAGTACATACCTAAAGCAGACCAGTCCATGAAGAGTGGCAGTCAGCTTACCCAGAACACAGAAACAGCTACTGCAGAGCTGTTCAGTACACTCACAGCCACAAAGTAGTGCCTGTAACTGAAGGCATCCTCCATAACTGTTGGACACCAGTTACAACTAACTGATTTCAGAGTTCAGTATCAGTTAATATAAAAGCACATCTATCAGCAACATTTTCTCTCACTCCCAGTCAGCCAGCAGGTTCCACCTCAGCAGACAACTCCTCCCCACCTCACAGCAGAGTTACACACCTGAACAGGAAGCCCTAAATACTAACAGCACAGAATTTCTACACGCATTTCCTCAATACCTCTTTTACCACAAGCAAATCAAGCCCTCTGCTTACCTCCAGCCCTAGCTGCCTCCTAATTTTTGAATTGATTTCACCAGCCTTATTTTTAAGGTCATCTTCATGTCCTAAAAATTCTAAGATGAAGACCAAAGCTACAGGACAAAACCTGCAGTCAACAGCAGTGCTCCTCAGGCAAAGTGTAACTACTGAGATTTCCTGAAGTAGCTACAGACTACCTGAATGCTTAAGCTTCACTCTTCTCTGCTCCATTCAGACAGCTCCTCAGCTCATCCTTGCCTTTTTCAATATACAGAATTTTGAACACTACTAAAATAAGGCATCAAAACATATCTTGTGTCCAGAGGTGAGGTATAGAGAACCGACGGCCTACGTCACATGCAAATCTCACCATGCATTACGTATCTCAGCACGACAGAAGTTATAGTATTGAAATCTTACATGGACAGGGAAAACCTGAGATCTACAAGCAAGCTCCACCTTAACTCCATACTTCAAAGTATGAAACATGATGTAACTCCACACTATATGCAACAGGACATAGAAGTCGAGCAAGGTCAATGCAAGCAAAATAAACATTCAGAGGATACAAAGAAAAAACATAATACTGAAGCAACATTCAAACTGCAGTAACGCCATAGTGAGTATTAGAGGTTTTTAAAAGAGCTCAAGACAAGAACATTGTTTTCCATTAATTTTTTTTAAGGGATGCATCAAAATCCCCTAGACTGCTTTTATGGGGCTGATCAGAACTACATCTTTTTTAAATAGGGGCTTTCTTTAGAACAGAGCACTCCCAAGACGAAAGTCAGGATTTTTCAAAATGTACATACAAGCAACTACAACGTACAAGCCTGCTCCTCAGAAGATATAGAGCAGGCAAGAATATGTAACATTTGCCTTATATTCACCCAGCCTCCAAGTGTTTTTGGCTCGGAGGACTTCTCAATTCAGGGGCAGTTTGCCTACTCAGTACTTTCAAGCTTTGAATAAGCAGGCAGGCAACTAAAGCTCTTCGTACTGCCCAAAGCAAATGTGAAATAGTGTAGTTACATTTATACTTACTAGTTCGGAACTTCTCCTTTATTGCATCCAGATCCTCCTTGAGAGCCACCTGCATCCAGACTAAGCCAACACATGCTACCACACAAGCAGCAAGAATGACAAACGCACATAATGGGTAACAGAACTTGCAGCATCGTAGATAGTCTCCCCTGGATAAAACAAAAATAACAGATTATGAATATTCAACAGTACCTAAAAAAGTTTTATTTTAAATGCTGTTCTATCAAAGGGACAGCCCCAGAACAGCATGTATTTTGCCTGACAATAGCCAACAAAGAGCTTTTCCAAGAATAAATAAGTTTATGCAGTGAGATCAGGGCTATTACTCTCCGTTCTGTTTATCCTCAGGAGGCACATCTAGCACACTTAAGAGCAGCTGTCAGGTTTCCCTTGCTAAAATTTCCTGCTCTGCTCACATAAACTTATGTTAGGAACATCTGCTTGATAGCTCGGAAAGCAGGCTTCAAGAAAGGGTATTACCATAATGTTATGACAAGTACTTCTAGATTATCCCAAACTGTGAAAGCCTAAGTTTCTCTGCAACACACCTACTTTTAGTTATTCTTATAGGCCCATTAATAACACTGTTACTTAACCGAGAAGTTTGTTTATTGGCAAAAGCACACATCACATTCACGAGAAAACCAGCACTGCACCAGCTCACAGATACAGGACTGTGCCACGCTGAACGCACACCGATAACTGTGCCCAACACCTCAAGCAACTGACCCCACGCTGCCCTAAGGACTTCAGTTGCGGTGAGCAGAAAAGAGAAAAACCCAAGAAGAAAAAATCCAGAGGATGTTTCAGATCTACTTCTACCCACAACCGGGCAACCTTTTGGGCCAGACACACTCAGTGCAGCTCCAGGCCTTTCCTGGTGGTCCCCAGCGCCCCACAACCCCCCCCCAACGGCGAAGCTGACCCACTGAAGGC